CGGAGCCCCATCCTGAGGCTGAGGAAGAAGCTGACTCTTCAATACAAGGTGTGGAGGCTGAAACTTCTCTTGGGGTCACATTTTTAAGAGGGTGCAACAGAACAGCATTTGGGATAGGACATAGGTAGTAACGGCCACAGCTAAGCGGGAATCCAAGAACGGAGGGCAGGTGAACAGACTCCATCCTGAGCTTCTCATGCCGGACACTGCCTTCAGCGAAGGGATGTGGAACAACTGACAAAAAACAGTCCGCTACGTTGTCCGATTTAAGGGGAAAAAAAAAAAAAAACTAACTTCTTTATCTCCTGAGTACAGGGAGATACGAGCAGAGCCCGCATGCACTCAGAGCAGCAGAGCTGCGCGCTCCCACCTGCGAGGGCGGCACGGCTCCGCGCTCAGCAAGTCCTGCCTCGGCGCGGAGCTCTGCTCGAAGAGCCCAGCGTTCGCTCAGGGCTCAGAAAGGAGATGAACCCAACGCCCCTCCTGCTCCCTGCGGGGACCGCCCTACTTGGCTCCCGGCCTCAGATCGCCCCTCCGGCGGCCGCGCTGACCGCGAGGGGCGGAGGGCGCTGCCCCGCCGGGCGGGAACGCCGCCTCAGCGCCCCGCCGCCTCAGCGCCCCGCCGCTTCCCGCCGGCGCAGCGGCCCGCGCGCCCCTCGAACCCCGCGGCTGCGGCCGCCCCGGACGTCGCGTAGCCGGGGCGGGCTGCGCAGTTCCGGCGGAGAAGAGGGAGGGGTGACATGCAGAGCGGGCAGCCGGAGCCTCGGCGGCAGCAGCCGGAGCCGGAGCCGCGGGTGCTGGGGGTCCGGGCCGGGCGCGGCGTTCCCGCCATGGAGATGGAGAAGGAGTTCCACCGGCTCGACCAGGCCGCCAGCTGGGCCGCCATCTACCAGGTGAGGGGCGGCCGCCCGGCCCCGCTCTGCCCCCGGCGCGAGGAGGAGCGCTCTCCTCTCGGCCGTTCTGTGCTGCCGCCCGGCTCCGCTCCCCCAGCGCCGGCCCGGAGCCCCGCGCGGACGCCGCCGCCTTCCGCTCCCCCGGCGGCTTTCCCCCCTCTTTTCCCCCCGTCCTTTCCCTCCCCGGGCCGCTGCCGTCCCTCCTTCCCCTTTCTCCCGGCGTTCAGGAGGCCCCGCGCCGCTCCCCTCCCGCCGTGGCCTCGTCCCTCGGCGCGTTCGCGGCCTTGCGAAGCTGCCCGTCGTCGCCGAGCGGAGCGCGGCCCGGAGCCGCGGCTGTCATCGTGCGGCCGCGGTGCGCGCAGATGGGCGGTCGGTCTCCGCAGGGATAGAACAGATCCGAAGAGCGGCTCGTTGGGAGCGCTTGCGCGGTGAACTGGTGTTATTTTTTGTTATTTTGCATTCAGCCCGTTTCTGATGTTTTTAAGCTGTGTGGCAAACGCGGATGATTCTAAGGATGCTGGCAAGGTGAATACAGATTAACAGATACAGCTGTAAAGAGGTCTTCTGCCTTGAAAGAGTTCTTTGTGCGCTTATCCAGAAGGAGGTGCGAGAGGTGGGTGTGCGCCGTCACATCAGGCAGCGCTGCCGTGAGAGCCGTGGGAATGCTTAAGCTGCAGCACTGCATATTCTGATAAATTCTAATTCCCCGTTTGTAATGTGGAAGTGAGGCTTTGCATCCCTTTGCTGTGCGTTTCTCTGGCAACAGACGTTAGAAAAAGGAAAAAAGAATGGAATTTTATGAAAGTGAAATAAATGAGCTTCAGCTTCACAATAGTATGCGAGTTGTGAAAGTAGTAGCTTGCAGAATGGGCATCTCCAGTTGTTTGCCAATGGAAAAACAAGCATTTTTCTCATGAAATTTTGAATATCCTTTTCAGAAAAGTCAATCTTTTGGGTAGAGGATTTCATTTCCTGCAGAGTCTCAGTGCTTGCTAACTCTATTGGTTGAAAGTCATGTGCACGTATGATGTTGTGTTTTTGCTAAACTGTTTTTGATAGTTTGGTCCGTTGCAGGCTTAGCGCTCAGGAAATGATTTTGAGTAGCAGCGCTGTAATGGAGGTGGAATACTCCTGGGGGTACGGTTTAATTACTGAAGTGATCTCTATAAGGAGCCGAAAGGTTAATAAAGAATGAGGAACTGTGGCATGTTTTCAGTGTAGCATTCAGTGATATTTTTTTCCTGCTTTCTTTGAATGGTGTGATGCAGTAACCTGCTCAGACTGTGTCACAGTGCGGTTTGATTGAGGTGTGATATTCAATTAAGAAACGAGCTGAAGTGATTTGCTTCCAACTTTTGGCAGCATGAGAGCTGGGTTTTTTGTTTTCTTGCTTGTATTTTAAGGTTAGTAAGTATGTGCTTCTGCATCATGTAACTCAGTTTCTAACTGCATCCTGCTTTTAAATATCAGCTGCTTTAAATGACGTTGTGGCAGACTGTGTACATCTAGAACAGTGTACTTCACTGTAATCCATGCTTTTGATGTCTTGGCAGTGACACAAACAATGCAGTTTTCCAACAAATACCAATCTTTGCCTGAATAATGGAGTTAAGTGGAATAATGTTTGTTACTGCTGCAGTTGTTTCTTTCTAAAGTCTTTCTGCAGGTTAGTCATACCATGTACTTGTAGTGTCTAGGTGTTAGGATCATGATTGCTAAAATACAGAGGTGTTCACCAATATTCTGAATGAAACATAATGCAGTTTACTAGCAGAATCATTTCCTCTTGTTTCTTGGCTATATCGTTGATCTAGAGATACAGATGACATTTAGAGGAGGCATTAGGAGCACAACAGGGAGGTGAAGCCAACTGGAAGGATGGCTACAAGGTGTGTGTGGGTGCCACATGACTTTGAAGGCATACAATTTTCCAAGCTTCTTTTTTTGGACAAGGGAAAGCTATGTTCAGCTGCAATAATCACACAGTTCTGAAAGAATATAAGATTTTTTTTTTTTTTTTAAGTGTAAATAATGATAAGGTGGAGACAAAAACAGTTCAAAATAAATTTCTGAAGGTAATTCTGTCTCAGGCACTGTATGGTTAGTGGCATTGTGGTAGCTAGTCGAAACGGTAAATACTTATGATGTTGTCAGTGTTGTTGGTTTTTTAAAACATCCAGTGCCATCTCTTTTATTAGATTTACTTGCTACCAGAACTAGCAGCCATGAGACATTGGAAAGGTTGTTCAGAGATCTGGTACTGTACAAGGGTTGATCTGGTATTAATCTGTGTTTCTATTATAGAGAAACATACTTGGGTCTCATTTGATTGGTTGCCTTCTACTCTAAACATAAGAAATAATTTGAATAGTTAGCATTCTCACTCAAGTCCTCTTCTATAAAACAGCAATTTATAGGAAAATGGTCAGCAGCTTAATACAAACTTTTAAATGTGATATTGTTCAAGCGTGCAGTCTAGAAAACAAATACTTAAAGGTGGGCTGAAGGATGTACACAATGTGTAAATACCTTTAGGAGTACCAGTAGGATTGAAAAGCATTCACTCTGGAGATGTCACAATAAAAAGCAGTAGCCCAAAGCTAAGAAAAGAAGAGAAGGTTCTGGGGAAACATCATTGCAGCCTTCCAATACTTGAGGGAAGCTTAGAAACAGGAGGGAGAATGACTTTTTACTGGGGCAGATAGTGATAGGCTAAGGGGGAATGGTTTTAAACTAAATGAGGGGAGATAGAGGTTAGATACTAGAAATAAATTCTTTTCTCAGAAGGTGGTGAGGCCCTGGAACAGGCTGCCCAGAAAAGGTATGCATGTCCCATCTCTAGAGTTGTTCAAGGCCAGGCTGGAGGGGACCCTGGGCAGCCTGATGTAGTTGGAAGGCAAGCAGCCCATGGCAGGGCGTTGGGACTGGATGGCACTCTAAGATCCCTTCCAACCTAAGCCATTCTGTGATTCTTTGAAAAGCACAGTTGAGGCCTTCAGTTAGAGGAGGGGAGAGCAAGATAAAGGAAGATGGTTTGACCAGAATATCAGAGACATTGAATTTTCACTTGATCATAGTGAATTCAGTATCAGATTTTAATGGTAATTCTATACGTAGAAGTCTTTAATAATTTTGATTTCTAACTCCTTACACATGTTGGTAGAATGAGATACTATCTTAAAAACACAAACCTCAAATACAGGTTAAATTGCTTCTTGTGTTTATAAAAACCAGGTAGGTTGATGTTAGTATGTTGGCTAATGATATTAAGTCTGATGTGTTAATAATGTTAAAGAGATCTGTGAATTATTTAGCATTCAGCTAGGAATCCCACGCAAAGCAGACAGTGCAACCCATACAAACTTGATACTGTTGGTTTTCACTGAAACATGAATGGCAACTGCTCAAAATTAGTTTTCTTTGTAAAGGATGCAGAATTGGTACACTTTTTTTTTTCTTTTTACAGTCAGTACATTGTAAAATAAGAAAGAAGTGATCATCTGGATTTTTAGATATGTTCAGAATTGAGAGAACTGAGAATATTGGGCACTGTGCTAGCTCTGCTGCTGTGCACACCCTGGAAAACTGACATATGGTTACAGTTAAGTACAGTTTGGTTTGATACTTGTAAGAGGAATATTGTAACTGTTCTCAATTCTTCAAAAAAGGAAGTTTGGTGCTTTTTTTTTTTTTTTCCAACTAATATTAATATGACTTATTTTTTTCCCAAATCTCCCTAAGCTAAACTAAAATACTGCAAAACGTACAAGTTAATAAACTTCACACAGGCTATGGGAGAGATATAGAAAGCAACTAAGGATGTTCTGAGTATTTCTCTCTCAAAAGAGAGAAGATGTGGAAAACTTTTTTACTGTCTCTGTATTTGAGGTAGATTTTAATGTTGAAAGTAACAAGCTGTAAAATGGTTCGCCCTGTATACTGTGGTTGTGTTATATTTTTAAAGTAAATGAACAGGAAGTTCTACCAGTGTTTTCGGTTTATAAGCTGCTGTGAGAGTTTAGACTGTCTTGCTGCAGTGTATAAGCATTTGTGTTTCTCTTTTGCTCTGGTGCTGTGAAACTTTAAACTTCTTTGGAGTACATAAACTTTTGTATGAGTACAGTTTATTGTAAATGCATCATTGTGCCTGATTCTGCCAGTTCTTGTTCCTTGAAAATGCAGGTCTCTGCATGCATGCCTTGCCACTTCTTAACTTGTGCTATGTTGATTCATTCAAGGTGTAATTTAATTGGCTCTCATTATGGAGAGCTACCTTAGAATTGGCAGTTGCAGGGATTCTTTCTTTGCCTGCAATACAGCTAAGGATATGCCATGTTTTCCAATGCTGTACAGCCGCTGAATTTTGATAGAACTGTAGAGACAGAGCAAGTAACTGAGCCCCTGTGGCTTGTGATGTCATTATCTTCTCTGTGAAAAAGCAAAGTTCTCTTTCATTTACAAGTGCTAGTATGCTTTGTGCTATTGAGAATGTTCCAAGGCACTCAGCTGCGTTGGCTAGTTGTGGTAGTCACCTTTCCAGGTCAAGACTGATCAGATCTGCTGATGGCAAACAGGAGATGGTGAAAGTCCTCTTCAGCTGAGCTACTGAGCAGCTTAGTTGTGCTTCTTTTTCAGAATCCAGAGTCTAAAATACAAGTACTTGAAGTGTCCTTTCTTTATAGCATTGCTGTAAGTAGAATAAAAACTGAGCACATATTTTTCTACTGCAGCTTACTGTTAAGGGGTACAATTTGCCAAAAATCTGAAAATCATACCTGTGGGCACTGAGTGCTATGCCTGCTACTGAGTGCCTTCAGAAGGATTTTAGGGTTTCAGTGGGTTCTTCCAGATTATTTGTTCCTCTTTCTTTCTTTCTGCTTGCCATAACTGACAGTTACAGAGAATACAGTGTTAACCACATGCCAAATGATGTTGAATTCAATCAGAAATAGCACTTGCAAACAGAGAATAAAATATGTTGTGTTCAAGGTAGACTAAGCATTTCTGAAACTAAAATAACTTTTAAAATATTCTTGTCAAGTTTATATTAACAGTTCATCATACAGGCAACTAAACATTAAAATGAAATCTTCTTGAAAGACTTACATTGCAACTGAATGCAGGTGTTCTGCAGGTGTTTTATCTGAGACTTTCTAGGCTGTGCTTCACACTGAAATATTACTGCTGCTTTCTTACAGTTCTCCAGTTTCACATCAGTTACCATCATGACATAGTAATCCATTTGGACTGTTAATTCAGCCTAATCAACTTAAGAGGGTACTGAGTGATTCCTTAAAGTTCAGAATTCATGTATGAATTGAAGTGGACATTTTTAAATTAAAATTAAATGGAGTAGGAAAGAGAATCTATGAACAAACGAAGAAAAGCCATACTAGCAGTATTAGCTTGAGATCTCACTATTGCTTGTAGTCAGTGAATGTGAGCCGGTTGTGTCACTCACTAGGAGTGAATTTGTTTTCCCATGGTGGAATAAAGTAGTTTTTTCTTTAGTCTCCTCACATGAGAACTGTTTAAGGTGCCAGAGAGCTTATAAGCACAAAATTTTCATCCCTTTTATTTCACAGAAGGAAAAGAACCCAAATTATGCGTACTTTATCAGTGTTCTGTTGTGAAGATAGGAAGCAGGTTTTTTGTTTGTTATAATTTTATTTTTGTTGCTGTTGTTTGTTTCTAATACCTCCAAACTAGGTTAGCACTGCATGACGAAAATTTCAGCTCATGTATTGCTTCAGGCAATGCAGAATGTATGTGGATGTTTCCTTCTGATCATAGTCATCTTTTGCAGTCTGTGTTCTCTTTTAAAACAGAGGCCTTTGTTCATCAGTGAGGATGAAATCTCTACTAGGTGAAAGTCTGCAAAATGTGTTTAGTCAGAGGCTTATTTAATGGCCAGACGCATAAATATTTGAAAATTGAATATTATGCCATACGCCTTAGAAATTAAAAACAAAACAAACAAAAAAGCCACATGCTTAGCTGGGTAATTAGAATTTTCTTGAGCGTAAAATTTTATAGTATGCCCTGCTTAATTCTGCAGTTTCTGCAATGCTGATTTGTAAAAAGGTTAATATGAAGTGAGATCAAAGACTAACACTTAGAGGATCACTTGAGGTTTTAGATAGTATTCAGATGCTGAACTGAAAGTGCTGTCAATGTTAGACGTTTTACAGGATTACACGGATTTTAAAAATAGTTATTTTTGAAATGTTCAACTATAATTTTTGTGTCTGTACTTCTGTAAAAGTGTGTAGTGCATCTGGACCTGTTGAAGCACATTTTTTCTTGAAGGAAGCACGTTTATGAAAATAAAATGAAGAAACATTCTCTGTGATGTTCAGAAGTAATAATATAACTTGATCTGATCTGTCAGCTTTGATGTGTACAGTGCTTACCATTGAGATTTTTTTTTTTAAGTCATTGGTCACCAAGTCTCACGTTGATTTGCACAAGAAACACTTTTTTGTTATCTCTCTGGTGTCAGTAGACATGCCCTTGCTGGTTTGGCTGGGAGGGGCACTATGATACAACATCAGAATGCCTTTGTGTGTTCACTTTGTAGATCATGTTGTACCACGGTCTACACCAGTTCATTTTCTACCAAAGTTTGTGAATTTAGATGTGCTTTTTCTCTCACCCACGCAAGACAGAGCTAAGATTCAATAACTTACCTATTGTATTATACTAAGAAAAAGCGAGTCATTCTTGGAAATTCGTGATTCTGTTAGTAGTGGTGGCTGATCTGCCTTCAGCTTGGGTTTGTGCTTTCTACATTTAAGAGAAACGTTCATGGGACAGCAATGAAAAATCTGTTGTCCATGATCAAAAGGTAGAGGAGTCAGCATAGTAGGAAAGTTTGGGAATTTGTAAGATTCATTTTTTCCCCTAGGTTCTGGTTCTCTAGGTTCTGTTTCCTTATGCTTTCACCTTGCTCGACGCTTTGTCCCAGAAAATGGACTGCTGAACAAAATATTTCCATAAGTTACTGTCGTTGCAGTCATAAGCAGTGGAGTAACAAGCTGGGTATGTAGGGCATCCAGCCAGCTTACTTGATAGATCTGAATTTTCAACCATTGTGGCTAGAGCCTGTCTGTATCTTTTAATTCAAAGTACTTAACGTTACACTATGTCAAATGTATTTCCTCCTTAATTGTGTGTGCTTTGTTCTTTTTTTTTCCTAGTGGCTGTTGCTTTTCACTCATACTGTCTTGCTGGCTCCTGCTTGTCCTTGTTGATTGGTGCGGTGCTGAACATGGATTGTAGAGGGAAAAAATATTTGGGCATTCTGCTTTCTCTATGGGCACGTACTTAATGAAAGCAAGCAGATTAAAAAAAGCTTTTTTGCTGAATTCAGCATTAATCTCTTGGTGGTGTATTTTGGATTTACCTAAATGACATACCAATACCTGCATTAAGGGTTTTTTTCAAAGCCTGTTTCTCGTTGTCAGGGACTGAAACTGGATCTTCACTGTATGTTGGACATTTTAGTCCTTCCATGCTGGGATTCAAACCTTGAAGTAGTGCGTAGCTCCTTCTTTTCACTGCAGTGTACTCCAGTGGAAAGAACAGGAAGGAGTCTGCTGCATGCCTTCACCATCGGTGCCTTTTCCCACCATCTGAAAACTATAATTGTCTTAGCAATCGGTTGTTGTGGATGCTGTGGTAACGCAATTGAAGGGATAAAAAGGCACCTTCAGAGTTGACAGCACAGTTGGTCAGTGATGAGGACTGACCAGCTTTCACTCACCAGCTGTTGTGATACTGTTTAATCAGATCTGAATTGTGTGGCACAGTCTTTTTCCTGTATGTAGGAGATTAAAACAGTTTCTATGTAAGTAGGAGTAGGAAATAAAGCAACAACAAAGCAAATTTTGCATTTGACTGTGTATGTAGTGATATAAAAACTATGATTCTTTTCCAGTGGGGAGAGTGGAGCTGTGTGGGTCAGGCTGCAGGCAGAGTGGGAATGGAGTCCTCTGCTCAGAAAGCTTACTGTGCTTCTGGTACTAAAAGAAACACTTGTTGTAAAAGCTGCTAGGTAGTATCTTAAACTAGCTGTTCTATTTGCAATCTTTCATGCGCTTTTTCTTGTATCTCAAGTTCCCAGAATTTTATGTTCCTTCTTTGAAGTGCTTGATTCATCAAGTTCTCAATGCTGTGAGCCATCTTACAAGACACTCTGTTTTTCAGGTTATTTATATTTATTTGGAACAAGCGGTCATGCATAAAGAGGAATGTTCTTCTAAACTTCTTCCCTTGTGAACATTTGATTGCAAATTGCTTGTTTTTATCATTTCAAATCCCACAGTGACAAGTTACAGTAGCATAAACCGTGTGACCTTTTGGTGCGATCGCAGGAAGAAAAATATGAAATCTATTTTAAAAATAAAATTCCTTTGACTAAGGAAGAGTGTGCTTCCTTCATCTGACAGGAAAAATAAGCCATACCAGTTCGTATCTTGATTCCATTCTGCTGCTACTTTTTTCCCAACGTCTTCCGTGCAGTCACTGCAGCTGGTTGTATTAGGGTAGATCATTGGAGCAAGAATGAGAACCAAAAAAATACTGTGCAGCTTATTAACAGCCAAAATCAATACCTACACATTCTGGATAATTTTTGAATATTTCCAGAAACTAAAGAAAAATTGAGAGTTTTAGCCAGCAAGGAATGACAGAGTAGACAGCTACCCAGTGCCAGAAAATGTTTCTGTGTAATACTTTTACAGTTTAATTAAATTGAAAAGTGATAATTGTCATATTTTTTTTTACACTTCTGGCAAGGACTGTGTTCACCTTGTGATTGCAGTTGCCCACCAAGAGCTGTTCAATGCCCAGCAGCTCCTGCAGCATGACGAAGAGGAATCTTGCTTCAACTTGTACTATGTTTTCATTCCCAGCTTTGGTATCTTCTCAGATTTGGCCCAGAGTTTCCATGACAAGAGCAGTTCTGCCCTTCTGGTCTTTTAAAACTTGTAAATAATGAAGGACGATACATGTAGCAAAGAAACAACCCTGTCATTCTATCCCTGCATATTACACTAGCTGTCATTAAATCAGTAATGTACTGAGAAATACTGAATTGAGGAGGTTGGTTGTTTCATTTGACAGCACGCAGTACTACACAGACAGCTGATCAGTAATTTCCCTTAAGCCCAGTTGCCTTATTTGAAGTAAAGTTGCTTGTTCTCACTGGAAACAGGCTTGGCATTCAGGGTTCTGGAGCATGGATGCTCACCATGTCCCTCAAAGTTGTCTTGTTTTTAGCAGAGAAGAAAGATTGAAACAGGAGGTTGAAAATATGTGAAACCTTTACAGCTGCTAAGTTGCTGGATTTATTAGCCAACATCAGAGCATTAGTGGAGAGGTCTAATCTTACAACAGGCTTTTTAAAGCTTGTTAAGAAGCAGGCAGAGCAGAAAGATTTTATGGCTATTAATAACTGATAAACAAGAAACTAGTGACAAATATGACATAATTTGTGTGAGGTTTACCATTCAGAACCTTGGTTTGGAACTGAGTCTGTTCTGCTGAGTTTTACTTGATTGCCTTTCCATACAATGTAGCATACAGGCAGCTTTTCTGAGGCTGACTGACAGCAGGAAATTCCTTGTAATTTTGCTGAGTTCTCAGTGGGCTTTGGGTTTACAAAAATGTTACGTGCTTATTGTTTTTTAAGAGTAGCTGAATTACTTTACTTTGTTAGGGGCAAACACTCAAATATTATTTTACAATACTAATAAATGTATATATTAGAACTTTAAGAAAATCAACAAAAGACCTCAGAGGCTTCTTTACACTAAAGTATTTTCTAACAATGTGTTCTCCAGGTAAAAGCATCTCTTTATGCAAATTTCTGTCTCTTGGTTTAAGAAAAATGGTTTAAGAAAAATAATCCATTGTTTTAAAAACGCCTGCCCAGAGTACTGTTGATGCAGTAGGAGGTACTTGGGTGTGATCCTAATAGTCAATAACCTTTATTTGTGAACCAGTGCTCAGAAACCTTTAGATTATGGTCTTTTGGTGGGGACTGGCAAAAAAAAAGGTTTTAATGGGATAAAGTTTGGTTGGTTTTTTTGTTTGTTTTAAGATGTTTGAAAGTTTTTTTTAATTCTTTTTGTTACTGTTTCAGATGTGCACTAAGAATGCAAACAGGTTTTAGATAGCCACCAAATTACAAAGCTGCCAGTGGCTTACAGGAGGTGCAGGGTTAGGAGTGGGAGTCTGGTTGGGCTATGGGCACGGTGGGCTGTGTACAGCACAGAGGTCTGGCCTGTGAGAGAGGAGCAAAGGAAGTCATAAGAGTTGTACACTTCCAGAGAGGATGCTGTAATGGTGGAGATGGCAGTTGCAATAGTTGTGTGGCTTTGCTGAAAAATTTGGTGTTCCCTGAGTGAATGACTGTAAACTTGCAGTAACAGTAGACACATGAAGTGGCAAACTATTGTTTATTTTGTCTGATGCATGCAATCTGTTTCATTAGCATGGAGAATATGAAATAGTTCTTTGAAGTCCCAGCTTGTGTTGTTCTGCAGACTTTTTCATACACTGGAGTGCAGAGTGCTAATCCCTCCTGCATTATCATCTCTATGGACATTCATCTTGACTGTGTGGAGTGCCTGTTTAACACTGATGCTGTTTTAAACTCTCAGTTGCTTTCAGATGGGGAGAAGACAACCTGCATGACTGGAGGTGAAAGCGCTCTCACAGTGCAGTGACAATTAAAGCAGTCATTAGTAATGCAGGATTGCTTCTGTCATTGTCTTAAAATATTACTTTGCAACATGGAAAAATAATAAGATATAGATTGTGTTTTAGTATTTAAGGTGTGCCTTGCTTTGAATTAATGGAAGGATTCTATCTTTCCACAGGAATTTGTCAGGCTTTTTATCTATAGATTTTCTCATATGCTGTTTATTCTGGAGACATAATTTTATTCACCTTTCCTTTGTGAGAACCAATTGCTAACACACATTGGAAGCTAGGCTTATTTTCAGTAAAAAGTAATATCAGTATCCACTGTAACTGAAAACTTAATGTACATTTTGATTTGTGCTTGAAGGGCAGCTAGCAAAGCAAAGTGCTCCTAGATCCATTGTCAATCAAGGTGTCTTCTGAGTGTGAGTTCACTGAGTGTAACATCTATACTGTTGGCATTCAAGGGTTAAGTTTCTCTTTCAAAAAAAAGGTATTGATTTTTCTCTTTTTTTCTTAGAACAGTTTACTACTCTGGAAATAGTTGTGTAAACAGTCAACTCTAAGTGCAACTTCTTCTGCTGAACCTTTACATAGAGCAGAGGTGCCCAGCCATTCTGCCCTGCAGCCAGGTGAAGGCTGTACAGTCTGTTCTGTCCCTGCTACCAACCCGTGGGCTTGTGCACGTGGCACGTGATCTGTCCAGCCCTTACATGACCTGGCAGCCGTATAGTCAGGTAAACAAATGTATAAACTTGTGTTTGTGAGGATGGGATATGGCATCAGTATTTGGCTTATTCCAAAAGCTGCGTTCAGTCCATAGATCTGTTTGGTCCAGTGAGCTGGTTGTCTCGGGTTTCAAAAGGTGTAAGCTGTAAAGTAAAACTAGTTTAGCTCTTTTTTGGTCCTAAGCACATATTTGACAGCTTGTGAGAAAATGGGAGTATCCTAATTCTTCTTTATCTAACATCTGTTTTCATAAGTACTGTTTGTTCTCAGCAGGTTTTTGTGTGCACTGCAGTAGCTTGGCAACTTGTAGATTGCACCATTCGGTGATTTCAGTATGCTTTTAATCATCACTGAAATTTTCCTTTCCAAATTTGAATATTCAAAGTACAATGAAGTGGGCATCTGTGATTATAATAATATAATAGCAACAGAAATGTTTCATTTGGCATCTGTTTAACAAGTTGTTCGTTCAAATTTGTAATCCAGTATGTCTTCAAATTTCAGTCCAGAAGTCTTTCTTGAAATTAGTTTCACAGAATCACAGAATCGTAGGGGTTGGAAGGGACCTCCAGAGATCATTGAGTCCAACCCCCCTGCCAAAGCAGGATCCCTACACCAGGTTTAGGAAAGGGATACTTGTAACTTCTTTCTGCAAGTGATTGTTAACCAGTACAGGAACTCAGAGTTCCCAAATACCTATTTGGGTAACTTGCTGGAAGAAGCTCAGTACTAAAAGACCTGACTGCTTGCTGGTTCTTCACTGGAAGCAAAGTTTGAGTTTGACCTCTGCGCACGGGGGCATGAAGACACTCTGTGCATCCTGTTAATTGTACATTCTCTTTACACTTGAATCTCAGTATACTAGAAATGGTACAAAGCTTTTGGTAATAGTGTGAAGAGTACAGTACTGTTGCCTTACTGATGTTCAGTGGAGTGAAGTGTTCTTATGCTGCAGGTTAGAACCTCCTGGGATTTTGAGTGATACCCTTATTTGTAGGGAAGAAACAGAATAGGAAACCCATTATGAAGTTGGTGCCTTCTGTAGCATATGGTTCATCATTTGTAGTGAACAGTGATTCCTCATAATAAATCCAGTAATACCCCTCACACTTAAAGCTTAAAAATTGCATCTCAAGAAGGCCAGTAAAACAACATATGATAAAAACATCTTCAAGGAAATGAAGTTTATCATTAAATAAGATATAGATATCTTTTTTTCTTTTTTCTTTTTTTAAAATAGGTAACATAGAGTTCACAACTTCCTATTGAACAATTCCTGCCACTTCCTTTCTTGTGTGTTTTAGTACTTCCTCTACATACGAGCTCATAACTTTTGAGAAACTTCATGGAACTAGTAGAAAATTTGGAAATACAGCCATTGTCTGTTTCATGGTATTCTAAACGTAAGAATAATATGGAAGTGATCTGAATGTTCATGGTTAGGCTTTATTCTCTTAAATTTAGCAAATATATTAGAAAGTGTTATGTAGATTTTTAGATATTCAGAGTACTTAATATGAATGGAATCATTTATGCAAAGTGAGACCAGTTGCTTAGTGTTTCAAAACAGTGAACGAAGTTTCCTTGAATTAGAATTAAGTCCTTTCCTTTGCATATTAAACACTTCTTGGTATTGCTTTGTCCTTCTAAAAATTTAATCCATTTTTTGTTACAGTTGTTTTTGTTTTCTCTATAGAAATAGTAAATTTAAAAATTAGCCTTCACCAACATAAATAACAGACTTAATGCTTACACAATTCAGAAACACAATGGCTTAGGTATGGCTTATCTTGTAAATGCTTATTTTAAACTCTCTAAGATAATGCATGCTGTTTTTCATCTCTTGTTTTTCATCAGTGATCTACCTATTTCTGCCAAGTAAGAATCTGGTAGGTGTAGTGCTTCCTGTGTTTTAGTTGTGACATCACAGAATCACCAAGGTTGGAAAAGACCTACAAGATCATCCGTCCAACCATCCATCCATCGCCAATACTTCTCACTAAACCACATCCCTTAACACAGCGTCCAAACGTTCCTTCAGCACCTCCAGGGTTGGTGACTCCACCGCCTCCCTGGGCAGCCCAT